GGAGGAGGAGGCGGGGGCGGAGGAGGAGGAGGAGGAGGAGGAGGAGGAGGAGGAGGAGGAGGAGGAGGAGGAGGCTCAGTAGGTTTGGGGTGCTCCTCTCGCTTGCACGCAGGAGTGGCCCTTCGTCGGAGTGACCTTTGGTGCGGGCCCGCTTTGGTCCCTCGATCGCCGAGCGCGATGCGGCAGTGGCGTCTTGCGCGCTTGTGTTTGGTCCCGCCGCGGCCTCCAAAAAGCCGCGCACCAAAGGTTACTCTTGCCCAGGGCCATTCCTGCGTGTCGCCGACGTGAGGGACGGGTGTCTTGAGGTAAGAAACGGATCCTGGATCTGCGTGGCCGTTTCCGAACTTCTGGAGCCCTCCCCAGGCCCCCGATGTCATGTTTTTTTCATTGCTTCGACCGTTTGAAGTCTCGACCCATTCCCCCGGACCGGCTTTTCATCCTGAGTCGTTTTTGCTGACGGTCCCGAGGGCCGGAAAGGGCCCCCAGAGGCCGAAAGGGCTCCCGGACGGAGGCCGAAGAGAGCAGAAAACGGGCCCCGGGGCCGTCCGCAGAAAGAGATGAGGGTAGTCGGCGGCCCCCAAGCGGTGCAGTGGTGGCCACGCCGGGTGCGGCGGCTTCGGGGTGCCCCCGCGAGGTTTTTGGGGCCTTGGGCCGTTCTCTCCGGGGCCGTCTCGAGCGACGGGGGCCTCGGTCGAAGACGACAACTCGCCATGAGCAGAAACTTGTGGCGCCCCGCGCGGATTTCTTGGATCCGCGCTGGGCCCCCCTGGCGGCGCCTCGGGCGCCACCCCTGGCGCGCTCCGCGCGCCAGGGAGGGCGGTCCGGCGCAGATCCAAGAGATCCGCGCGGATCGCGGCAGGCTTATGTTTGTGCAGTTGTTTCTTTTATGCTGAGGCCACAAAATCGCGCGGTGAGGTCTGCGGGGATCTCGAGGCCACCTCACGGTCTGTCACGGCACCGTTTTTGGACCCTCACGTGAACAACCGGTCTCTCCTCGAAAGCCCGGGGGTCCAGGATTCGTTTTCCTCAAAGACCCCTTCCTTTATGCTAAATTTTGAGATCTCCCCCGGCCAAATTGCCTCTCTGCCAGGCTGAGCACGGTGCCCAACGAAGAGGCCTCGATCGGGATGTCCCTGGCGTCCAGTCTCGCTGGACTCGCCGCTTCCCTGCTCATCATCCTAGTCGGCTTCTCGATGGGGTCCGACGGCGTCGTTAATCTCAACTATCAGTTGTTGCCGGCCGCCCTGAAGGTGATCTTGAGACCGTTCTTAGGTACCGCCTCCTTGACGCAGGCGCCCGACCCGTTCCTGGACCCCGTAGCCGTCGCCTTCCCATCTCGCAGGTGTCTCAGGGGTGTGGCTGTCAACATAATGGCGTAGATAGCGCCTGCGACGTGTTGATCTGTTGAGGGATGAGAGAGGAGGGAGAGTGAGAGAGTCGATGTATGTTTTCTGCCATTGCCCGCTCGACCTCTTTCAGTTGAGGAGCTCCCGCTAAGACACCTGCGAAAATCGAATTCCGTGCTTATCGGCGGCATCGTCGGCCTCATCATCGTGGGCCTGAATTTATTGCCGCTCGGTCTGCTGCTCAGCTCGTTTGTGCCAGCAATCGGCCTGCATTAAAGATGGCGGCGAGGTCTCTTTCTGCCCGTTGTTTCTCCCGCTGCTGCCACTGCTGGTGCTGCCGCCCCTTCTTGACTCGCCGTCCGCAGCCATTATGATTGTGACTCTAATGTCAGTGGATGGAATCTGAGGCAACCGAGTCTTAGTGAGATTCGGCAGGAGTCTGCTGGCAGGGAGGAGATCTTGCCCGCCTCAGCTGCTTACGCTTACTTCAATTCAACATCGGAAACTTGTGCGATGCGAGTATCTGGTGCACGGAGAGCGAAACTCGACTCACCGGGATCCTGTTCGTTGGTGCCGCCGTTGTTGCAACCGGTGTTCCTCGTGCAACGGCTGGGTCTAGACGTTCTCGGCGACATGCGGGCGCAAAAATATAGTCATTATACGATTTGGACTCTTGCTTCTCAGGGGTGGAGTTTAAGATCTAATATCTACCGCTGCTGCTCAATGCGCAGAGTAACGGCGAACTTTGGCAGCCATTACTGTGAGCAAGTTGCTTGTGAGGTGCAGGTGGACAGCGTTGGCGCACCGCGGGACAACATCGTGCAATCTTGCCGCTACCGCCGCGTCGAAGACGGTCGAGAGGAACAGTGGCATCACCCGCACGATCGAGACGAGAACCAACATCAGGATCAATCACGTGCACATGCTGCGGGGATCCTTCTGATTTTTGGTTCGATGATGAGCTGGCGTGGTTGGCGGACGGCGACGCGTCAGTGCGCTGCGCTGTGTGCACCGAGCTGTGCAAGTTGCCGCTGGTTACCAGTGGGATGCTCTTGCCCAGGCATCCTCGGATCTCACCACCCACCAAACCACCCCAACCCAACCCGAAGGCCTCAATTTGCCCTCCATCTCCAATTGGGGGGGGTCGGGGAACATTGAAAAAACACAGATGGAACCTGTACCCCCCCCAACCCGAAATTGGGGTCTTCGGGTTGGGTTGGGGTGGTCTGGTAGGTAGTCAAGATCTGACTTCTGCTTAGGCGCGGCCCCAGAGCTCCCGACCCCTTCCGCTGGGCAGTTTTGCGTCCAGGGGCTCCTGGTGGTGGCCCCGGCGCCGCCTCCCTGGCACCGCCCCGCGCGCCCAGGGAGAGGGGGTGCCCAGGCGCCGATCCAGGAATCCCGGGCGGAGCTCGGAAACAGCTTGGGCTCATGCCGTTGTTTGCTCCTCCACGGACGTCTGAGCGCTCTCTCCGTCCCTTCCTCCTCCTCCTCCTCCTCCTCCTCCTCCTCCCTCCCTCCTCCTCCTCCTCCTCCTCCCTCCCTCCTCCCTCCCTCCTCCCTCCTCCTCCTCCCCTCCCTCCTCCCAGGGGGGGGGGAGGGGCTAGGGGCGAGGCAGGGCGGGGGCCCCCGCCCGCCGCCCCGTGAGGCGCTGGCGGAGCTCGGCTGCCCCGAATGGCCATGCGATGGAGCGGACTGCCTCTCTGCCTCGCCGCCGACGGAAAAAAACAACAACAAACAACAACAAAAAAAAAACAAAAAAAAAAACGCCGCCATGCCGCGAGCTCGTCCCGCCCTGAGCGAACAGTAATATGGGAAGCCGGCCCCGGCCCCCTATGACAGCGGGTTTTACATGCCAGCGTCTGACAAGTCTGGTGGATGTGCGTAAGAAGTGTAGGCGCCTTGTCAGCGAGGCCACTGCCAGCTGCCGCAGGGGGGGGCCCGCGCGCGGTCTAGTTGGTCGGAAGTTCATCATGTGCGGGCCGGGAGTTGGTTTTCATGCGTTCACTGAGTGCAACCCTGCGGGCAGGCTTTCAAGTTGACACCGCCACCAAGATCGGCGGTGTGCCTCCACCGAGGGGAGATGCTCCCGATCTCGGTGATGGTGGTCATATACTCGGGCTCCCGAGTGGCCGAACTAGTACCACCAACACCGAGATCTGGGATCAGCTCACCCCTGTGGAGGCAAACCCCTCGTGTTGGTGCTGATGCCCATCTCCAGGCCTCCAGCACCCGCGCCTGTGCCGCCGTGGCGGCGGAGGCCGCGCCGCGCTTGTCCGCTCGGCCAGAGGCGGGGGGGGCGGGGGGCGGCGGGCCGCCTTCTGGGCGGCTCCGACTGGCGCAGTCTGCGGCGCCGCCTCGGGGGCGTCCAGTGAGCCTCGAAGAAGAAGAAGAAAAAGAAACTACATCCGCGCGGATCCGCGCTGGGGCCCCCCTGGCGCGCGGAGCGCGCCAGGGGGGGTTGGTCCAGGTCGGATCCAAGAGAGCCGCACCGAGCGCGAGAAGTCAATGTTCACGTAGTTTTTGTTTCATCTGGAGCAGGACCTGGAGAGCGAGGACCCACTGCGCTCGAGCCGCGCCAGGCTCTTCCGTCGTCCGCATTCACGCCCCGCCGTGGAGACAGAGATGCACGCGGGTCGTGCAGCGGTAATCTCGATTATTCTGGCAAGTGCGACGTGCTCAGCCTCGCTGAAGTGTCGCATTGCAGGTTGCTTGCGAAGCACCCATGCCCACCCAGGCCAAAGTTGCGCGTCTTGGGCAGGGCCTTGCGGTTGCTGACTGACGACGATCACGCACCTTTTTGGGGTTGCTGTGCGGTGGGCTTCTGGTGGATTTGCCCGAGTTGTGGGGGCCGCGCGGACGATCCCCAGCGGAGTACCAGAGGCTCGCTGACAGCCGCTGATTCGAGGACGCGACGGATGGTCGCTATGGGTCAGAACCTTTCTTCGGTACGTACACTGCGGCTTGTTCTGACTTGGATGGTGCATTGCGAGTCCAACAGTGCGGCACTAGTTCATACTTGTTATGATAGTCTCGCTCCGCGCATCGCCAGCAGAACATGCAGAAACAGTTCACGAGGGAGTTGTCGTGAGAGGGGGAGCGGATGAGCATGCTTGTAGAGCAAACAAGCGGGGAAGCAATGCACACCAAATGATGAATCGGCCCAAGTACTTATTCGAGATGATATGCGTAGTTGCGCTGGTAGTCTTCATCAGTTCATGCGACTTCGAATTGCTTGGCGTGGCCTGGCCCCGGCTCGTCCTTTTCACCGTAGTTGACTTGAGCTGAATGTATGTATCGTAGGGTTCGTATTGGAATCACGCAGCTCGGCGTAATTCTGCTGTGTAGCTTGGCCTAGCCTAGCTCATCTCAGGCCGTCTCCGTGAAGCAGAGTCGAGCTGGTCCTTGCTCCGTTTCGCGTATGTGAGGCTTGCGCAGCGTATATCAGAGGCGAACCTGCTAGTTCCACCGACGGTATAATGTTAACAGTTTGGGCAAGGGAGGGTGGGGCGGGGGTAATGGAGGGAAGCGGAGGAAGGGGGACGGTGGCAAGGGAGAGCGCCAGCTGCAATGCAAGGGAGAAGATACAATGTGCTCTGGCTCATCCCGCCATTGCGCCTTAGTGGTGTGCCGGATGCCTTGGGGACATGATGGGGGATCTTTGAAGACTATTGGGGGGCGCCTTGGGGCCGTTGTGTGCGTCATGGGCGAGACATGGGGCCTCTCTGGGCTTCGTACTCTTCTGGACCGCGTGTGGTTTTGGAATTTTGTCGGAGGGGGCGCGTTCCAGTGGTGCGCTGGTCGCGAGCTTTTGGGGTCCCTCTTGACACTGTCTTGGAGTCTCCTTTGGCCTCTCTTGGGAGCGTCTTGGGCCATGTTGGCCTGGTCCTGGTCTTCTTGTTGGTCTTTCTTTAACGCTCTTGCGACCGATGTGGCGAGAATGTAAAGCTCAAAAAAACACAAGGGAGCCAGCCGACTTGAGCCTCCTGGGGCAGCACCCTGGGACCTCCAAGGCGGCCCGCGAGACTCCCAAGAGTGCGGAGGTTGGCCTTGGCTGGCCGCGCTCGGAGCGCTCCAACGGACCAGCTTGGGCCGTTCCAGGACCATCTAGAGGCCTCAGAGGCCCGTTTGTTGTAAGCCAAACGGCGTGGCTGGGGACATCTTGGAGGCAACCTCGGCTCGCCTGGTGCCCTGCGGCTTATTCTGCCACCGTCCGCTGAGGACCACCAGTAGGCTCCTGGGCGTCCCTGGGGGCCTCCATGGGGCCATGGGGAGTCTCTGGGGCTCTCGAGGCCGCCTTGGACGTAACGGGCCACGGGCGTCTGGCCTGATGCCAAACGGCACGAGAATGTGTCTGCAAGAAAGAAAAGGAACAATACAAGCACGCATATAATATATATATACATATATATATATATATATATATATATATAACATAAAAAACAATACGACACAAAAACAAAAACGTGAACGTTTCTGCTCCGTGCCCACTGTGGCCCAGGCGTGGCTCAGCACTCGCCCGGTCCGCTCAGCTGCCGGCGCGCGATATGGAGCCCGAGGTTCGCCCGGCCCACGTGGTGAGGATCCGGAACACCTTCGTGGACAGCCGGGGGGAGAAAGCACGGCATGCACGGAGGCTTGCGGAGGTCCGCGCGGACTGTTTGGCTCGGCGCCTGGACCTCGTTTCCGATCGAGGCTCGAGCGGAGTAGGAAAACGGGGCTCCGCGCTTCGCCCCGGAAGGGGCTCTTCGAGCCAGCAGGCGACTTGGCTCGAAGAGCCCCAGGGGGCGAAACGCGCAGCCCTGCTGTCATGTCGCTTGAGACCCCGACGCCGCCCCTGGCGCGCTCCGCGCGCCAGGGGCGGCGTCGCGGGCGCTGCTATAGAGGAGGTCCAGCGCAGGTCCAAGAAGTCCGCGCCTGGCTCCGCACGTTTCTGTGTGATGCCGCCCTCTCTCCCCCCAGACAATCCAGGACGACGGCCCCGGCTCGGAGTCGCCGGCCCGCCGGGCGAGCACCGCGCCGCCGCAGGGCTCCCGGCGCGCCCGGCGGCTGCTGGAGGAGGAGCTGGAGCTGGAGCGGCAGTCCCGCCTGGAGCGGAGCTCGTCGCTGACAGGGGGCCAGAGGCGAACGCTACCCCTACCCCCCACGATTTCCGAGGGGGAGGGTGGGGTTCACGTCACGATTACCTTCACGAGCAAAGTGAACCCCACCCTCCCCCTCAGAAATCGTGGGGGGTCGGGGTAGCGTTCGCATCTGGCCCCCTCGCTGACCCTGGCGTGGAACGCCGGCGAGGCCGAGGCGGGCCCCCTGCCGCTGCCCGCCCGCGCGCGGCGGGCCTCCTCGCCCTCCGCGGCGGAGCCCCCCCCCGCGGAGGAGGAGCCGCGGCCCGGGGGCGGCCGCGCGGGGGCGCCGCGGGGCCCGCCCGCGCCGCCGCAGCCGCAGACGCTGTGCGCGAGGCGCGCGGCGGAGCGCGGGCCCCTCGAGGTGGACTGGGTCGTAGGCCCCGGGCGGGCGCCGGAGAAGAAGAAGGAGGAGAAGGAGAAGGATCGAGGAGAAGAATGAGGAGAAGGATCGAGGAGAAGGATCGAGGAGGAGCAGGAGCAGGAGCAGGAGCAGGAGCAGGAGCAGGAGCAGGAGGAGGAGGAGGAGGAGGAGGAGCAGAAGGAGGGGAAGGAGGAGGAGGAGGAGGAGGACGAGGAAGCAGAGGAGGAGGAAGCTCCTCGTCCCCCCCTGGGCATCGCTCGGACGTGTGTATATTTTTTCTCGGCGAGAGCCATCGAGGACCATCCTGGGCCATCGAGCAAACAAAAAACACGCACGACATCGAAAAGTGCACGGGAAATGGACGTCCGAGCGACGGCAAGGAGGGGGGGGGGGGGAGATTTCAGGCGATCGCAAACATGGATATGAAGGGGGCGTGGAGCAGCGACGGGGTCCCGCTGCCATGGGAGATCGCGGATGTCCGCCGCTGAGCGAGGCGGCACCCGCCGCATTTTGGGGAGGGCACCTCCCCCGGTCCACGGATTTGGCGACCGCGCGCCAAATCCATGGGTCGCTAGTCCATGTTTGCGCGCCCCCGAAGATTGGGGCTCACGTGGCCAGACCCCCCTCGGGCAGTGGAAGAATCATGACGGGCGGTTCTTTTCTCTTTTCGGGCTCCGGGGGCCCTGATACCGGCCCCCGGGACCGTCAACAAAGCGACTCGGGAGGAAAATTTGGTCCAGGGGAATGGGTCGAGACCTCCAGGGGTCGACGCAACGAACAAATCATGGAGTCGGGGGTCTGGGAACGGGGGTCAGCGCCAGCGGGCGCCAGCCAATCCTGGCTTTGGGAGCCACGTGTGGCCGACCATCCGCTGATCCGGGGGTTGGGAGCTACTGCAGCGGCGGGCCAGGCTTTGCGTACAGAATTCGCATGACCGCGCTCGGATCACCAACACGAAGCCCGTGCCCCATAGGGAAGGTGCTTCCGCTTGAGATTTCCTCGCAAGTCACTCACAGACGAGGCTCCCGCCTGAGGCTTCCTCCAAATTCAGGCCCGAGGAACCCAAAAGTGACGACAGTTACATGGATGAGGATGACCCGCTCGGATTACCAATGCGAAGTGCGGGACCCATAGGGAGGGGTTCCCGCTTGAGCCTTCCTCACAATTCACTCATCAAAAAGGCTGCCGCCTGATATTTCGTCCATATGGAGGCCTCAGGAGCCCAAAAGTGACGACAGTTACAGGATTGATGATGGCCCGCTCGGATGATCAACATGAAGTGCGGGGCCTGTAGGGAGGGGGCTCCCGCCTGAGACTTCTTCACAATTCGCACACAAACGAGACTGCCGCCTAATACATCCTACATATTCATGCCTCGGGAGCCCCACAAGTGATGACAGTTACAGGGTTGAGGATGACCCACTCGGATTATCAGCGTGAAGTGTGGGACCCATACGGAAGGGGCTCCCGCCTGAGACTTCCTCACAATTCACCCGCACACGAAGCTCCCGCTTGATATTTCGGCCCTCTTGAGGCCCCAGGCGCCCAAAAGCGACGGCAGGTACAGGGTTGAGGATGACTCGCTCGGATTGCCAACATGAGCTGCGAAGCCCAAACGGAGGGGGTTCCCGCCTGAGACTTCCTCACAGTTCACTCACAGACGAAGCTCCCGTCCGAGACTTCTTCCACATTCAAGTTCCCCAATCAGAGCTTGTCTCTGTAGGGGTCCTAGCGGATTCATATGGTTTGGTTAGCGTGGCCGCCGATTTTCGCTGCACGCCCGGGTGCCCGGGGGTGCCCGCAGGGGTGAGTTGGCCGCCGATTTTCGTTGCACGCCCGGGTGCCCGGGGGGTGCGCCGGGCTGCCCGGGTGCCCGGGTGCCGCGGGGGTGCCCTATAGCCCAACAGCCGTATAGCCCTACAACTCAATAGCCCTATAGTTCTACAGCCCTATAGTTAAATAGCTTTACAGCCCTATAGCCCCCTAGCCCTATAGCCCTGATGAGTGGTGGGGGGGTGAGTGATCATTAGGGGGTGAGCGATGACGAGGTGATGAGTGAATGAGTCATGATGATGAATGAGTGGATGATGATGATGATGATGCTGCTGATGATGATGATGATGATGATGATGATGATGATGGTGATGGTGATGATGATGATTGAATGAGTGAGTCAGTGAATGTGTGAGTGATCGAGTTGTGATAATGGTGGTCATGCTGATGGGTATGCATGTGTGAGTGAATCAGTGGGCGTGCGTGAGTGTGTGAGTGATGACGATGAAGTGAGTGAGCGAGGCGGAGAGGGGGAGTGAGTGTGTGAGTGTGAGTGTGTGTGAGAGTGTGTGATGGTGATGATGAGTATGATGATGAGGAGGAGGAGGAAGAGGAGGGAGAAAGGTGGGAGGAGAGATCTTGCGCGGGGGGTGTGCAGAGAAAACAAAAACCCCACTGGATGTACGGTAAAACACGAAGTACGGGCCCCATAGGGACGGGGCTTCCGTCCAAAACTTCTTCACAATTCACTCACAGACGAGGCTCCCGCTTGATACTTCCTCCATATTAAGTGACGACAGTTAAAAGTTTCCGACGACGCGCTCAGACTATCAACATGAAGTGCGGGATCCATAGGGAGGGGGCTCCCGCCTGACACTTCCTCAGAATTCACTCACAGACGAGGCTCCCACTTGAGACTTCCTCCAAATTCAAGCCTCAGGGGCCCGAAAGTGACGACAGCTACACGGTTCCGATGACCCGCTCGGATTACCAGCATGAAGTGCAGGCCCCATAGGGGGGGGGACGGGGGGCACCCGCCTGAGGCTTCCGCTCGGATTGCTAACGTGGAATGCGGCCCCATAGGGAAGGGGCTCCCGCTTGAGACTTTCTCGCCTCGCAATTCACTCACAGAGGAAGCTCCCGCTTGAGACTTCCTCCATATTCATGCCTCGGGAGCCCAAAAGTGATGACAGTTACAGGGTTGAGGATGACCCGCTCCGATTACCAACATGAAATGCGAACCCCATAGGGAGGGGGTCCCCGCCTGAGTTTTCCTCATTATTTACACACAGACGACGTTCCCGCTCGAGACTTCCTCCATATTCAGGCTAGGGGTGAGTGATGACGAAGTGATGAGTGAGCGAGTGGTGAGGATGAGTGATGATGAGTGATCGGATGATGATGATGATGAGTGATCGAGTGAAGGTGATGGTGATGATTGACGATGATGATGATGATGATGATGATGATGATGATGATGAGGAGGAGGAGGAGGAGGAGGAGGAGGAGGAGGAGGAGGAGGGGGAGGGGGAGAGGAGGAGGAGGAGGAGGAGGAGAGGAGGAGGAGGAGGAGGAGGAGGAGGAGGATGTGGTGGTGGTGTGTTCCTGCGCAGGGTGTCCAGAGAAAGTGATGCTGAGTGATGAGAGAGAGAGTGTGTGTGTGTGTGTGTGTGTGCGATGTGCGACTGAGTATGATGATGATGGTGGTGGTGGTGATGCTGCTGATGATGGTGATCAATGGCCGATGGTGATGGTGATCGATGGTGAGCTACTGAGTATGATGATGATGATGATGATCGTGGTGGTGATGATGATGACCGATGGTGATGGTGACCGATGACGGGGTGAATGCGTGAGTGAGGCGGAGAGTGAGAGGGAAGTGAGGTTCCTGCGCGGAGGGTGTCCAGAGAAGACAAGAACTCCACCTTGGATGTGGGGAAGATATCGCAGCAGATCACGACCGGAACCCTAGACCCCATCTTTCTGCAGCATTCTTGGGGCCTTGGATAGGACGGCCACGGAGCCGGAAACCGGGCGAAAACTTGCAGTTCGAAAAAAATGAGGCGCCAAGATCTTAGGGTCCACAGCCCGTTGGGGTCCCAGGACGTCGGTTCCAAAGGCGGCAGATATGGACATATCCCCACCTCGCGCTAACCCTCCCGTTTGATGCCCCCCCTCTTCGCCCGGCCCGGCAGACGCGCGCAAGCTGCGGAGCAACGACAGGACGGCGGTCTCGCCGCCCTTCGAGCTGCCGCTGTTCGGCGAGGCGCCAACGGCCTTCAAGCTGATGCTCTGCGCGGTGTCCACGGACGATGGCAGGGGCGGCATCAGCTTCAAGAGGTCGTCGGGCAGGGGCATCGTCCTCCTGAAGTGCGAGGGGGACGTCCCCGAGCGGGCCGCAGACGTGAGCTTCACGGTGTCCCTCGGAGGCCCGGGCGGGCCGCTGGAGGCCAGTCCCCGAGGCCCGTTCGTGCACAACTTCGCGAGGTGTGCCGTCGGCGGCCTTCCAGTAGGGGGCCACAGGCGAACCCTACCCCTACCCCCCACGATCTCTGAGGGGGAGGGTGGGGTTCCCTTCGACCGGGGAGCTCCCGAGCGAAGTGAACCCCACCCTCCCCCTCAGAAGTCGTGGGGGGCAGGGGTAGGGTTCGCCTGTGGCCCCCTAGCCAGAGGGCCAGGCAGAGTGGGAATTCGGCCTCGCCGTCGACGAGGCCTCGCTGACGTTTCTCGTCCGGCTCGCGGCGGCCCCCTCTTTTTCAGAGGGCCGCCATTCAAGTCGGGACAGAAGCAGTTCCAGTGCAGTGTGAATAGATCCGAGGCTGGGATAGCCATAAGCACCGCCGGGGGGATCTCGATCGTCGGGGTCCTCGGCACGCGGTGGATAATTGTGGTTGTTGCGGGCCCCGACCCGCTGGGGCCCCAGGGCGTCGGATCCCAAGGCGGCGTCTACAGTGGAGGCCCATGCCAAGGAAGACCCTGGTTGCCTCCACGGTGCCCCGGGCTTCTTGCGATGGAGAGTACGACGTTCCCCCCCCAAAAATCAATGAACGTCGGTCTCAGGGCTGGGTTTCTTGTGGAAGGTTTCTTGTGGTCGGGCCCCTACTGTATGTGTCGATCCCCGCCTCGCAGTAGGGCGCGGAGCAGGGCAATTGTACAGAGCGCTGCAGTTGAGCGCAGACCTTGTTAGACAGAGTTGTGTTAGGTCCGAAGTTCCGGAAACCCTGTTTCGCAGTTGGACAATCGACTGCGGACCCTGCTGCGCAGACGATCGCCGTGGAGTCCCGGTGAACAGCTTGGCTTCCTGGAGAGTCGCTCGACATTCTCTGGGAGCGCCCAGGAAATTCCAGGCCGTCGGGGGTCTTGTCCTCTCAGAGCCTTGCAAGCCTTCTACCTTTAGCAACTGTTTGGGTACTGGTGCACTCCACTGCGTCCGCAAGGCGCAGTGGCCGATCTGGGGTCACCTTGGAGCCATCTTCGGTAAGCACGGACGCTGCAACCACCTGCGTTCCTCCCTGTTGCAGGATGCCCGAGGAAGGGCGGGCGACCTTGGCATCCCAAGGAGAAGGTGTGGTTAGCTGATCTGCAGAACAATTTGCGCCCAGAGGGTAGGTGGTATTATCAGGTCTGTCTCCGTTGTCTTGCCCCCTCGCCTTTCGCAGCACTGCCAACCGGGTTTCACACCGCTCCCGACCTGCGCGGGGGGTGGGAGGGCGGCAGGGGACGAAGCAGTCATGCTTGGCTTCCGAGACTTCCACATTGCTTTTCCTCTTCGCAGGCCCACATGGCTCCCAGACGACAGTACGATCGCGCGCAGAACTTGCTCGCGTGCGAATCGTGCGTTCGCGATGGCTCTGGCACGCGCGTGCACCTGCTTTGACTATCCGCAGCTGGCCCAATGGCAGAGAGGAGGAGGAGAAGGAGGAGGAGGAGGAGGAGGAGGAGGAGGGGGAGGGGGACGAGGAGGAGGAGGAGGAGGAGGAGGAGGAGGAGTAGGAGTAGAAGGGAGGAGAACCAGAGTGCAAGGCCAAGGCGCATCAGCAGGTTTCTAATAGACCGTCCCTCCAAGTTCCCTCTTCATAGGCCCCTACAAGAATTTAACTTCTTCGCGGGACATGCCCCCACTGGAAGACAACCGTTTGAGGATCCTTAATCGTGCCAAAGACACGGGGTTTCAACGCCGCGTCCAAGAGAAGGCGCCCCAGCCTCGACCCTCTCACACGCCCACCCCCCCCCTCCCGAAATAGATGGGGCTTGGAGCGCCCCCCCCACCCCCACCCTCGCAATCTTCCACTTTCCTTTCTGTTCTGGTGTGCTTTCGGACGCTTCTGCTCCCGCCCCCTTGCGACTCCTGGCTCTCCTGAATGCCCTCTTGGGTCCCCCCTTGTGACTCCTGCTCCTCCTTGTGTCCCCCCTCTTCCGCCCTCTTGGGTCTTCCTGGATGCATCGCGTAGCCGCAGGCATCAAGCCTACTGCTTTCTTTGATTATTCCCCCCCTTACCTGCCTCAGTCCTCGCGATCTCCACGGCGAGAGTTCGCCGACCCCACGTAGGGTGCGCAATGAGCCAACTGGGCATACAGCTTGTTGTTGCAGCAATTCGGTATCCCAGTCTCCCGCGTACGAAGGCGCGCGCCTGTCGACAGTCCACTGGCCGCCGTTGTCCTAAACCGCCGCCAGACCGCTTGGACCAAGGCAACAATGCTTATGATGTTCTAATCTACTTTAGCCTTGATCACCAGAAAGAATTTCGATCACCAAGAAAGCATCGAATCTGGAGGGTTTCCACGTGTCGGGCCCTGGGAGGCGATACTCGTTCGACACCGTTTCGATGCTGTTCTGGGTGCTCGAGCTTCTTTCTGGAATGTGGCCCTGAAGTACGAGGGGAACAGCATAAAGCAATGCGGGAAAGGTGAGAGAGGTGAGGAGCAGGAACAGGACGATGATGATCAGGAGGGAAAAAAACACACAGACACAATTAATCGTCGACTCCCCGAAAATATGGGAAAATATGGGAAGTGGGGGGGAAGACAAAAACCCAGAAAATATGTGAAACTATGGGGAATCTTTTTATTTGTGTATATTTATTTGTGTGTCCCAGAGCCCCTTCAAAGGTGAGAGAGGTGAGGAGCAGGAACAGGACGATGAGGAGAAGAACGAGGACGGACTGCGGTGCCGCAGCTCCCGCACGGCCAGAGTCGGTTGGCAGCAGAGGGAGTGGCGTCGGCCACGGCAGGCCCAGGCCTGCACGCGCAGTCCGCCAACGCTCTTTCACGGCGCTGTCGCTTGGCATCGCTCGGACGTGTGCATTTTTCTTTCGGTGAGGACCATCGAGGAGCATCCTTGATCATTTGGCGAAAAAACCACGCACGATGCCGAAAAAAACACAGGGAATGGACGTCCGAGCGATGGCCAGCTCGTGCTTGTGAATCCTGCGTGTCGGCGATTGGCCGATCGATCGGCGAGCCGTTATCTTTGGAAGCACCCTGCATCGTCTCAGCATCTCTCTTCTCCTCCCTCCGCCTCTGCCTCGCCCCTGCTCGTACCGGTCGTTCGCCTTCTCCGCATCCCCCCCCTGCTCCCAGACCGGACCGAGGCCGGCTGGATGGTGGAGTCATGGTCAAGAGCGTGTTCGGCGCAAGGACACCCTGAGCGGACGCTGCCAGACAGCGCGGGAACGCATCTCCGAGCCGTCGGGTAAGCCTTGATCGTCCCTGAGCTCCGGCGCTGCGGCACTTTTCGAGCCGCATCGATCCTCGCTTATCCCGGGGCCCAACGGCGGGCGAACCCGCCCGGTGTGAGAAAGGGGCACCGCCCAGATCTGAGGGATTGCCATGGCGCCAACATCGCAGAGCGGATTTCGTCTGGAAAACCAGGGGATGGGCCCGGATTGTCCTTGTGAGTGCCTTGCCGGATTTCGGAGGGAAGTTCGCGGATTTGTTCGGACCAGGAACGAAGACTGCAGCACATCCACGTGAAATGCAGTTCGTTGTTCGCTCGCCGGTCCGGGGCTTTGCCCCGGCAGAAGCCCACGCGAAGATCCGCCGCAGCACGTCTGCAAGGCCGGTGCAGTGAGGACGGGTGTGGACGTGGGAGCACCTGTTGATGTGGCATCGCTCGGACGTGTGCATGTTTCCTCGGCGAGAGCCATCGAGGGCCCTCCTGGACCATCGAGCAAACCAAAAAAAAACACGCACGGGACCAAAAAAAAACACAGGGGATGGGCGTCCGAGCGACGGCAGGGAGGGGCCCAAAAGCGCCTCGAGGAGAGGGGGCAGCACCCCGAGGGAGGGGCCACGCCGAGGATTGGGGCCACGTCCGAGGGAGGTGGCCCCGAGCACGTCGATCGAGGAGGGGGCCACGCGCCGCGAGGGAGGGGCCACGCCGAGGGGGGGAGCACGCCGAGGGAGGGGGGCACTTCGAGGGAGGGGCACGCCGAGTGGGGAGCGCCTCCTCGTCCCCCTCCTCCTCCTCGTCCTCCTCGTCCTCATCGTCCCCCTCGTCATCCTCGTCCCCCTCGTCCTCCTCGTCGTCCCCCTCGTCCTCCTCGTCCCCTTCGTCCTCCTCGTCCTCCTCGTCCTCGTCCTCGTCCGGTCCGAGCACGCCCCGGGCGATCGGCGCGGCGCCGCGGCCCCCGAAGGCGCTGCCGATCGGTGGCCGAGCGCCGGGGCGCCCGTCGTCCTGCCTGCGGCGCGCGCGCGGGCAGCAGCCGCTGCCGCGGGGGCTGCGCCGGCGTGTCGCGTGCCGTCCAGTGCTCGGCGTCGCTCGGGCGTGTGCAGCTTGTCCTTCGGCGAGGGCCCTCGAGGAGCATTCATCCTCGATCATTGGGCGAAAAAAGCCACGCGCGAAACCGAAAAAAAAACACAGGAGATGGACGTCCGAGCGATGGCCCAGGGGGGCCATCGCTCGGACGGCGAGGGCCCTGATCTTTCCCCAGATCTCATGGCGCCTCTTCTTGTTTCATTACGTCTGTGGCCCCCCCGCCGGGCCGCGCACGTGCCGCCGGCCATGATCTGCACCCCCCCCCGCTCTCTTGGACACCCCCTTCTTGGCCGCTCCTGACCAGCGTGTCGCGTGCCGTCTGGTGGGCTCGCGAGCGACAGTCCCCAGACATGCGCGCGGGGGAAAAAAATATCAGGACGGGAGTTTTTTTTGTTTTTTTGCCATCAGGGGGGGCTCTCGCCGGGCCCTGGGGCTGTCAACAAGAACGGCTCGGGACGAGAAGCCTGTCTTGGGGGTCTAGATTTCCGGGGACGCCGTCCTGAACAAATCAGGACGTTCCAGTCCCAGACATGCTCGCGTCGTAGAATTCGCCTGGCGAAGGGCCCAACCATAAGCAGTGATGCGTGCCGCAGTGGCGAGTGGCATCTTCGGTGGATCCTCCGAGGTGGCCACGGAGCGCTTGAGGGGTGTGCCGAAGTGGCCCGTGGGCGGCACGCGGCCTTTTCCACTGGGGCTTCCGGTGGAGCTCCCCATGGGGCCAAGAAACGTGCAAGGTCAAGTCCAGTCAAGTACGCCTTGCACCAGACGGTGCGTGAGCAGGGGTGAAACGCACGGTAAATAATCCACCAATCCAGCCAGAATACTTTCAGCTTCCGGCCCAAGCCTTCACCACGCGCTCCCACGCTCTAACTCGAGTTGCACCACCTTCATGGTGGAATAATGGGTGCAGGGGTGCAGACATGGGGCGGCACCGACATGCGGACCCTGCCGCTACGGCCTTCAGTGGTGCCGCCTCAAGCCACCAAGCGTTCGAGGGGTGCGCCAAAATGTGGGATGGAACCGCGTGCGGGCGCTGCCACTGGGGCCTCAGGTGGAGCACCCTGTGGGGCCAGGGAACGCGTGAGGGGTTCGCCGGAATGGGGGGTTGGAACCGCATGCGGGCCCTGGCACTGGGGCCTTCGGTGAAGCTCCCTATGGGGCCACGAAGCGTGTGAGGGGTGTGCCGAAATGGCGAGGTGGCGGCATGCGGGCCCTGGCTCTAGGGCCTTCGGTGGAGCTCCCTATGGGGCTACGCAGCGTGTGAGGGGTGTGCCGAAATGGCGAGGTGGCGGCATGCGGGCCCTGGCACTTGGGGCCTTCGGTGGAGCTCCCTACGGGTCCACCAAACACGTGTGAGGGTGTGCTGAAATGGCGAGGTGGCGGCATGCGGGCCCTGGTACTGGGGCCTTCGGTGGAGCTCCCTGTGGGGCCACGAAACGTGTGAGGGGTGTGCCGAACTGGCGAGGTGGCGGCATGCGGGCTCTGGTACTGGGGCCTTCGGTGGAGCTCCCTATGGGGCCACGAAGCGCTGTACTGGGTGTGCCGAAACAGAAACATGCGGAGTGCAGAGGCAAGGGAGGAGGAAGGAGGAGGGAGGAGGAGGAGGAGGAGGAGGAGGAGGAGGAGGTGGAGGAGGAGGAGGAGGAAGAGGAGGAGGAGAGGAGAGGAGAGGAGACGCGGAGCGCTGCCTCTTCAAAACGAGGGTCCAACACGACAAGATGGTGGGGAAAAGTCAGGACGGGAGGTTTTCTGTTGTTGCTATTTTCGCCCATGGGGGGCCCTCGCTGGGCCCAGGGGCCGTCAAAAAACGACTCGGGACGCAAAGCCGGTCCTGGGGAAAGGGTCTGGATTTCTGGGGGTGCCGTCTTGAAATAATCAGGACGTCACATGTCTCGGGTGGAGGCCCATGCCAAGAAACACCCTGCTTGCCTCCAGGTTGCCCTGGGTTTCTTAGGTGTCGATGCTTTTGCGATGGAGTGCGTGACGCTCGCACACCAAAAATCAATGGACGTCCTGGGGTCTCAGGGTTGGATTTCTTGTGGAAAGTTTCTTGTGGACTGGCCTCCACTGTACGCCTGGGAAGTCGGAGGTGCATAGACCTCCCACCCTGGCACGTCGATTAGTGCATTGGCCGTTTTCGGTTCGCGAGAGGGCGTCGCGGCCGTTATTTTTTGTGGGTCTAGATCCGTCGGTTTCGGTCCTAGGCCGTTTTCCCTAGAGGGAGGTTTACTAAAGGGAGGCTTTCCGTCGCCGAGGAAGCAGTTACCCGTCGGTCGTTGAAAGTAGGTATCTTGGGATTCCCAGAACCCAACCTACTTCAAGCGCCTTCCTACTCCAAGAATCGGCACGCTTTTGTTGTGTTGTGTTATTCTCTGGGAGGGCCTGGACCCAATCTACGATATCCGCCTTCCTACTTCATGTCTCTACCTACTTCTTCCGACCGACGTGTATCGATTCCCCTAGGCACCGCCTGATTCCGGGGCTTTGCCCCCTCCTGGGCTTGACGTGAGGCCCCTCCTTCTGCCCCCTTCTCTGTCAATTCAAGCTGTGCAATTCAAGCTGTGTGCGGCCCGCTTAGCTTCGACCGGAAGAGGTGCGCTCTCGACCCGCGGATCAAAAACGTGTATCGATTCCCCCCCTTCCCACCCATCCCCCTGTTTTCGGAGGAGCTGCTCGCCCCAGGAGGCGATCTGCGGACCCCGGACCCTCCTGCGCGGGATCCCACATCGGATCCCAACAGGGCTCCAGCACGACCCCGATCGGATGCCGAGGAGAGCCCAAGAGGCATGCAACATGCACCCAGTGAGATCCCAATCGGGTTCCAATCGGATTCCGATAGGGTTCCATGAGGATCCCAGTGAGATAGAATCCCAGAAGGACTCCACCGTGGGCCTCTCCCATAAGAGCTCACCATGGGAGACCCCCGTCGGTTCCCCCCATGGGACCACCTTGTTAGAAGAAGACCCGCCCAAACAAATCAAGCCTTCTCATAGGACCCCCTTCCGTCAGGTATATAGTTAGGGCTCCCTTCACAACACCTCCCGCATAGGACTCTCCCCCCGAGGACTCTCCGACAGGAAGGGTCAAGAACTGAGTTGTCACGCGATTCCTGCGATCTCCGAGGAGCCCGTTTGTCATGGGGCGCAAGCTATGATGTGCAATCTACGTGGTGCAAGCTAGGTGTAGCTGAGCTATGCGGTGCAAGCTGTGTGGTGCAAGCTCCGCGGTGCAGTCTGCGCAGGGTGCAGGCAACGCGGTGCAGTCTGCAGGCCGACGCGGGGGCTCGACGCCGAGGTTGAGTTTCTGCCCTTACTACCTGAGCAAAAAAGAAGCGTCGGCAGAGGTCACCACGCGAAACGTAAGCGCCCTCCACACTCTGCCTCAACTAATAGACATAGGAAATAACTCCTACCACGGCTGCTCAGGATGGGCGGTGAGGGGGGGGGATGATTCTGGAATGCGGGTGCTAAGTAACGCTGGCGGTGCAATGGAAGCGATATTCTTGGGAGGGAGGAGGAGGAGAAGGAGGAGGAGGAGGAGGAGGAGGAGGAGGAGGAGGAGAAGGAGATGGAGAAGGTGGAGGAGGAGCAGCCGTCGCTCGCCGCCGGCGCTCTCCTCGACCTCGGCGTCGTCCTCCCACCAGGCCCCCTGATCCTCCCGAGGCTTTCGGAGGCCCCAGGCGGCCCACGAGATTTCAGAAACCTGTGCCCCCGAGCTTCCATCCTCGACGACGTCGACGCCCACGACGACGACGACGACGACGACGACGACGACGACGCCGACCACGGCGCCGACGACGCCGCCGCCGGCGATGCCAACCAGGACGGGCAACCTGTTCGGGTTCCTCGCGCTCGGCCTCCTCCTGCTCGGCAGCACCGCGCCGACAGAGGCCAGCCTCCTGTGCACCACCTTCGGCTTCTACGCCGCCGCCCCTAGCGGGGGGTGGGCCCAGCGCGGCTGCGGAGGAGGTGGGCGGGCGAGAGGCCGAGCCGCCACGGAGTGGTCCCAGAGATGCCCGCGTCGTGAACGAGATCACGACGGGGACGCTTCAGGCTTCGGGCGTCCGTCGCACGGCCCTTGGGCTGTCAACGAAACGGCGCGGGATGTAAAGCTGCCTCCTCCTCCCTCCTCCCTCCTCCCTCCTCCTCCCTCCTCCCTCCTCCTCGTCCTCCTCCTCCTCCTCTCCTCCTCCTCCTCCTTCCTCCTTCCCCTCCTCCTCCTCCTCCTCTCCTCCTCCTCCTCCTCCTCCTCCCTCCTCCCTCATCCCTCCTCCTCTCTCCTCCCTCCTCCCCCTCCTCCTCCTCATTCCTCCTCCCTCCCTCCTCCTCCCCTCTCCTCCTCCTCCTCCTCCTCCTCCTCCTCCTCCTCCTCCTCCTCCTCCTCCTCCTCCTGCTGGGGGGGAGGGACTTCGGGGGAGCCCGCACTGAAGGCAGGAGAACGTCGCCTGTCCGGGGGCGGGTCCGAGAGGGGAAGCGAGGCCCGAAGGTTCTGCCCGTTGTCGGGCTCCCCGGGGCTGTCCCAGGGGCCCCAGGGGGCCACTCCAGCAGCGGTTCGGCGGAGTGGGGAGACATTGCCCCGAGAAGACCCGCAGGGTCCAGGGCCTGTTGGACCCTAGGACCTCAGGGGCCCCGAGGGCGACGAGGACGAGGGGACGGACGAGGGCGAGGATCGGAGGACGGCGACGAGGGTGGCGCGCACCACGTGCACTGCCCTCCCCTGCCTGGCGAAGGCCAGGAGGAGGGCTGCAATGGCATCGAGGATCTTCCTGACACTGCCGCCATCTTGGGTCTGGAAGAGGAGGAGGAGGAGGAGGAGGAGGAGGAGGAGGAGGAGGAGGAGGAGGAGGAGGGAAGGAGGAGGAGGAGGAAGATGAGGAGGAGGAGAAGGAGGTAGGAGGAGGAGGAGGAGGACGAGGAGGAAGAGGAGGAGGGAGAGGACGAGGAGGAGGAGGATGAGGCGGAGGAGGAGGAGGACGAGGAGGAGGAGGATGATGAGGAGGAGGAGGAGGAGGATGGAAGGGGGCCTGCTCCAGCTGCAGAGGAGGACGAGGGGGAGGGCAGCCCAGGCACTCGCGTCGCAAAATGACTCGACGCTGCAACGCTGCATCTCATTTTCTGGCACTGTCCTGTGTGAGTGTCTGTGCGTGAGCGGGCCTGCCGCCGTCGGCTGCTATGTGCCACTCTTCTGCTCTCTGCTTCAAGCCGCTTTTCTCTGCTGCTCTCTGCTTATATATGATGCCGTCTGGCGCTGCTACTCTCTGCTGGTCTGTGCTGCTCTCTGCTTCTCTCTTCTGCTCGTTGCTGCTCGCTCCTCTGTGCTGGTCTGTATTGGTTCTCTGCCTCTGATGCTCCTTGCCCCTCGGTGCCGCTCTCTGCGCTTGAGGCTTCCAGTGGCATCCTGAAGCTTCCTGGGGCGATCCGTGTCTCCATGGGGGCTCCTTCCGCATCCTGGGCCATTTCCAGGACCCTCCTGGGCCCTCCTGTGGCGGGACCTCCTCCGTCGGCTTCCTGCGTTTTCCTGGAGTTTCGTTTCCTCTGGCGTTTGTGTTTTTCCACGTTTCCGAGGCTTCGTGGTCGTCATCCGCCGGCTTCTTGGGATGAGGATGAGGATGAGGAGGATGAAGAGGAGGTGGGAGGGAGGGAAGACAGAGGATGGAATCTACCAGTGGCCCCAAAACAAGCCAGAAGCAACACTGCAGCCCGATTCAGAGGCAGGCGAGGAAGACCTCGCCCTGTAAGTACCCCTGGGACCAGCTAAACAGGGCCTGTGCTTCTCTGGAATGAAGCGGGGAAGACATGATGTCATAAGGAGGAGGGGCAGCCGAGTACCTGCCGCATCATTATACAGGGCATCTACGCCTCGGAAGGTCGGTATCTATGTCCTGTATTCGTTTCCAGGTCGTTACATTTCAGTGAAGGACAGCTGCAGAGAACAGTTATCGTGGGAGGACCAACATGTCAATAGAGCTAAGCTGCACGCTCGCTCTCTGGGCATTGGTCTTATGCTTGCATGCCTTCTTGTCGAAAGCGCCCTGCTTCTAGGAGAAAGCAGGGGAAGACCGGAAATTCGCTACCCAGCTCTGCCAGGCACTGCGACAGACCAGGCAATCCTATGCTCTGCCCTGTGCATGGCATGTCATTGCGCCAGGAAGCGCTCCCGTCGAACGCGACACAGACAGACGAAGTGATCTTCTTTTGCAAAGTTAATGGCTTGGCACTTGGCAGGTGGCACTTGGCAGTTGGCAGCGCTGCAGGTTTCTGGGGAAGTGTCTTGATTTGTTTCGCCTGACCCCTGAAGCAGGCGAATTGCAGCGGCCGAAGTCCCTACCTGGTCCAAGTACGGTGAAGCACATCGCAGCTGGTATAGCTGCAGAAACGTCCTATTTCAAGCCGAGGGGCCAGAGCTCCCCACCGCCGTCTTTGTCGCCAAGACGGGACGAGGGCAGGCCTGGGCGGAAGAGGAGGTGGCGACGGAGGTCGCGGCACGGGGGGCCATTGCCGCGCTCCCGCAAAAGGTTTTTGATGGCCCCAGGGCTCGATGAGGGCCCCCAGAGGGCGAACATCGCGGAAGTCCTTCCGTCTCCTCTACGTTGCGTTGTGAAGAATATGGTGGAGAAGAGTGTAGAATTGTTGGCTCAGTGCCCTGTGTGCTCTTTGATTCGACGCGGCGGTCCAACCGCCCCTGGAACTGGAACTGAGACACGACGCGAGGAGGTCTGGATGGGCAGCTCACGAAGGTCTCAGCACCTTGTGGCAGAGCCCCGGGGCGGCGTTCCCGGGCCCGGGGGGCGGTCCGTGCGACGAGGCCGATGATGTGAACAGCCTTCTTGCAGGCCTTGTTGCCGAGGGTGGCTGGGACAACCTCGGGGGTCCCCGCCCACCTCTTCGCGTCGCGAGAAGAAAGCACGACGGCAGGTGTTCGGCCATTTTCGGCGTCTGGGGTCGCCGCCTGCCCCTCCCCACCTCCGGGATGGTCCACCACCTGCGCGGGACGAGATTTTGGTCCGGGGGAAAAAAGTCGAGACCTCTGGGGGTCAACGTTGTGACCAAAAAGCGCCACGGCGTCAGACTGGAGTTCTGGGGCTGTTTGCGCGCAGGCACCAGCCATGCTGGGGCCCCTCCCTTCTACCTTGTGTTTTCAAGTGTCTACCCTGTCGTTCTTGCGTGTGCCACCCTGCTCGGGGCCGAGGCCATCATATTCCAGAACGGGACCGAGAATCCCCCGCGCGACGGGGTGACAGAGGTGGACGGGTCCGTCAAGGTGCTGGCGATGCTGCTGGTGGTGCTCGGGATTCTGTTGGCGATCCCGGGGTCGTTCTTCCCGCAGCTGTGAGCGGAGCGGTAGCTTTACGTCGGGCCCGTCCCTCTACAGGGGGAATGTTCAACAATAGTCAAGGAATAGTTTGGGGACTATTCTTTGGGGATGTTTTGGCGTCTTTTGAATTTTACTTGAGTATGTTAAATTGTTCGTCCGAAATCCCCCTGTAGGGGGACACGCCCGACTTCACGGTAGCTGCGCACCCCTCGAAGCTCGAAGCCCTCTTCGAGGCTTGGAGCAATCGCTTTGAAGCGCCCTGCGGCCGCGGCGGGGCACGGCGCCCGCCGTTGCTGACAGAGCAGGCGGGGCCACGCCCGGGCGGCCGTGGAGGAAAAGGGGCCGGGGCTCAAGACCGCGGGGGTCAGTGCAGACGGGGGTCAGCCAGGGCACGGGATGCTGCAGGATCTTGCGAGGACCCCCTCTGGCTGACCCGGGTTAGCGAGCCGCTCGTGGCCGCGAGGCGGCCGCGCCTATTGGCTGACCCGGGTTTGCGAAGACTTGCGCTGCAGTTTTTTGTCCTGCATTGCAGTTGTTTGGTTTCCTGCTGACCCGGGTCTGGATTGACCCGGGTCGGAAGATCCCCGAAGGGGGAGCCGGAGGGAGGAGAGGCGACACCACCGCCACCAGAGGGGGCCACTTCCAGAGAGGAGGTCCACGACGCTTCCCCCAGCTTCAGAGGAGGAGAAGGTACCCATACCGCTACCCTTCCGCCCGCTTTCTCCTTGTCGAGCCTCCTCCGAGGCCCTCGTCGCCTCCGTTGGATTCGCCTCGAAATTCTGGTCAGAACGCACCCCGGGAGAGGTCCGGGGAGTAGCGGTATCGGTACCTCTTGGTCTCCCCGGACACCACCGCCGCCCACCTCCAGAGAGGAGGTCCCCGACGCCTCCCCCGGTTGGGGACGGGGGAGGTCTCGAGCCTGGAGCGGGGACTCCGCCACCAGGGCCCCCCCCCCCCCGCAAGGCTCCTCGCGCTGGCGGTGGGAGTGGGGCCGCCTCTCCTCGGACCGGTGCCAGAGAGGAGGCGAGCAGGGCAGAGAGGATCAGCAGCAGCAGCCCCCGCTGGGCGCCTCCGGCCGGCCACCCCTCGAGGCGGGGGTGGGCGCCGCAGGGCCCGACGGCATTTGTCTCCACCCTGGGCGGGGGTGGGTCGGACATCGGGGACAAGGCTTCTCCTCCTCCTTCCTCCCTCCTCTTGCCTTCTTCCGCCCCCGCCCCACCCCCAGCTTCTCCCCTCCCGGTCCTCTCCATCCCCCCCATCCCCCTCTTCCCTCCCTCCTCCGCTTCTCGGGACACAAGCAATGACAGAAACATGACAACTCGGAGGTCCGCGCGGACTTCTCGGATCGGCGTCGGACCCCCCTCCCCGGTGCGCGGAGCGCGCCAGGGGCGAGGCTGGCCGGAGGCGCCGCCAGGGGGGCTCCATCGCTGATCCGAGAAATCCGCGCGGACCTCCGAGTCGTTCGGAGGTTGATAGACCTACCTTGACACGTCGATTAGCGAATTGGCCGTTTTCGGTTCGCGAGAGGGCGTCGCGGCCGTCGTTTTCGCGGGTCCAGGTCCGTCGGTATCGGTCCCAGGCCGCTTTCACTAAAGTGCGGCTTGCTAAAGGGAGGCTTGTCCACCGCCGAGTTGTGACGCTTGTGTCATTGTTCGTTCCCCTATGTCCCATCTCCCTCCTCTTCCCTCGCTCTCGCCTCCTCCTCCTTCTCCTCTTCCCTCCTCCTCCTCCCTGCTCCCTCCATCCTCCCCCTCTTCCCTCCTCCTCTTCCCTCCTTCTCCTCCTCCTCCTCCCTCCTCCTCCTCCTCCCTCCCTCTCCCTCCTCCTCCTCCTCTTCCCCCGCTTTCGCCTCGTTCCCGCTACCGCCGTGCGCCGCAGAAGGTTCGGCGTATCGGGATCGCGCTGGCCGCGGGGCGTGCGGCGCGGGTCAGGCGGTGCGCGTCGTCTTCTTCGCCCGGGCGTCGCCCCTCCGCGTCCTCCTCAGGCACCTCCTCCTTCCCCTCCTTCCCCCCCCCTCCTCCCCCCTCCCCCCCCTCCTCCCCTCCCCTCCTCCCCCCCCTCCTCCTCCTCCTCCTCCTCCTCCTCCTCCTCCTCCTCCTCCTCTCTCCTCCTCCCTCCTCCTCCTCCTCCTCCTCCTCCTCCTCCCTCCTCCTCCTCCTCATCCTCCTCCTCCTCTCCTCCCTCCTCCTCCTCCTCTCCTCCTCCTCCTCCTCCTCCTCCCTCCTCCTCCTCCTCCTCCCTCCTCCTCCTCCCTCCTCCTCCTCCTCTCCTCCTCCTCCTCCTCCTCCTCCTCCTCCCTCCTCCTCCTCCTCCTCCCTCCCCTCCCTTT